CAGTATTTCTATCCATAGATTTACTTTTATATGTGTACCCGGTGGGTACCTGACCCGGTGCAGGACTCTGCACCTTATCACTACTAGAAAACCCCTATGCTCTTTACATTGTTGTATGTTTATGTACTGAAGCTATGTATTTTCTGTGGAGGCCTTGCAATAATTTTCTTAATCAATTTATCTACGTGGACAAATAAATTTTCCATCATCAGCTAATAAAAATGGAAGCAAATACTTTCCCAGTCCTTTAAGATTCCACTCATCCACCTGATTTAATTTTTTGTGTTTGATATGTTTATCTTTTATATTTTAGGTTCAGAATAGGAAAGCAAGACATTATTATACTGATAAAGATGGTATCCCATATTACATTAGTTAGCTGCTTCCCATAAAGGTGGGAGATCAATCAGTCTTCCAGCCAGTCAAATATCATACAATATCAGATTGACGCCTTCCTTTTACACTAAGTTATCTCTATCAACCAATTAGAGAAGAGTAAGAAGATGATTTTAATTTTATCTGGATTATGATTTTCGAATCGATTAAGGATAAATCCACATAAAAGTCGGCCTCAGCAGATGACACAGAGTGTAGATCTGCTGGAGGTTTCTTCCTGTTAAAAGGGAGTTTTTCCTCTCCACTGTCGCTACAAGCATGCTTAGTGTGAGGGATTGCCTTCGAGGCAATGAGTCGATGCAATCAACTGGTTTTCCTTAGATAAAAAACTTTGAATCAATTTGACTGGATGATCTGGTTGAACTGTGAAATACCTTGAGATGACATTTGTTGTGAATTGTGCTATATAAATAAACTGAATTTAATTGAGGTGAATAAAACAGGTAATAAACATTAGAAATTAAATTCTGCAAAATAAGAAATTTAGTGATATGATTACATAAACACATCAAAAAATATACTCTACCACTACTACTAGAGACTAAAAGCAGAGTTGTGTGACTTAATGTTTAAAATGCCAATAAATCCAATTAGGCTTAAATTTACCGTGACTTTCAATTGTTGTTCAACCTGACTGATAAAACAGTTACAAATTCAACTAAAAACCAAATACAGTGTCTGACATTTGTGTTTGTTCTTGGTACCTGCCCATACTGCCAAAGATACAGAAAGCTGGTTCAATGACCTTACCCAAGTGGTACTGTGCTTGACTGGATAGCTAGACTTGAACCTCATGGGGGTTCAATGAAGTACTGTTAAAAGGATAATGAAAGACACCAACAATGCAGATGGCCTTAAGTCTGCAATCAAACCAACCTGGTCCTTCTATCGCTCTCCAGCAGAACCAAATGCTTATAATCCCCATGCTGTCCTATAATTAAGCAGTAATCCATGAAAAAGGAGCCATTATATTTACATTAGAGTATGCTAATTGGGTCTATGGTGTTTACTAGCGAGACAGATGAATCATGGGACTGCAAAAAGAGACTCATAAATGATGCACGGCCCTGCAAAGACACTCTTTTGGATTTAGTCACCAGATACCTGTAGCTACAGGCTAATTCCCAACATCTGCTGCTTCACAATAGTTCAGTGTGAGGAATCTGCAGTGAATCCACACAGCATAAGGATTTTAAGGTAAAATAAGATGACAGAAAAAGGGATTGTGCATGATAAAAAAAAGGATGCATGATAACTCAAAACTACAGATTTTTATTTTAGGTACCTTTCAGATTAACAAATATCCACAGTTATCATTTTTGTACAAAGCAACACATTTTTATCCTCTGTATTTGACCTCTGGGAAGCAGTGGCTGCCAAGGGTAAATTCTGGGGCTAAAGGTTTTACTTAGAGACCCAAAATTACAGTCTGGGATTCTAAGTAATAAAGCTGCAGCCTCAGGAGTAAAGTGCTCCAACTTCTACCGCACTTTTTGTTTATTAGGAATTTACACCGTATTAGTCTCCTCTAAGACAAGCCGCTCTGATTCAAGCAGCACACTATTTTGATGGTGACCTTCCACTCTCTTATAACCTTTTGAATAATAACACCACTGTCACACACAAAAAACTTTCCATAGTCATAATTATGATCCAAATCTGAAAACAAGCCTAAATGTTAAACCTCTGATACAAGCACACTAATTAAAACACTTAACTATTATCCACGTCTGTTAAAACTTTCTGTAACTTTCTGTAAACACAGGTTGATACATAGGAAAGTTACTGTATTATGCTAATGTTTTTTAATCTTTTTTTCTATTAAAGAAATATCATTAGATAAAGAATGATCTAGCATGCAACACAATACATTGAGAATTAAAATTATGAATGATTTATACAATAGTAACCACTCAAAATTTCCCCACTTTCCTTGATGGGTCTTTGGCTGGTCCCCTTCAATTTCTTTTTAAACATCAATATTTGTACTAAAATATTCTTTCTGTCATGATTTGTGGACATTAAGATCTAATGAGTCATGGTCCTGGTCAGAGCCTGTAATTCAGTGAAAGGGTGGAGTCAGAGTAAAGGAAATATGCAAGAAGGGGTCACTTCAGTGGCTGGATGTTGGAGGGGATTTCAATGGGAGTTGGAGGGAAGTGGGCCGCCATTGGGCTGCTGTTTGACTAGGAAGGGCCATTTTGAAAGGCTGCTACTGTACTCATGTTTTATCTGGTCAATGTCTGTATCCGTCAATCCTTTAAGCTGCAATATTGATATCATTTTACAGATAAAAACGTTGTATCAGAACCCCTCAGTGAAAACAAACAAGTTTAGCTTCAGTTCAAGCTAACTCTTTAGCTGTTCTGGGCTAATGCTGCCTGCTAAACCCAACTGGAAAAAGTAGGTTATTGGGTTTAAGTGGTAAATACTTTTTTACATAGGGACAGGTTGATTTGGATAGATTTTTACTTAAACAGTTAAGTCAAAGGAACTGGGTTATGTGTTCTTGTTCCTTCATACAAACACATATTTAACCCAGAAGAGAATACATTCAAATACAGGGATATCTTCTCTTCACAGCTTTGTAATTATCTCCTCTCTTTCTCCCTTAGCCTTCTTCTCCTTTCCCCAGTGTGCATCTTACCCTTCATCCTCCCATCTTTCCATCCCTCTACCAAAGCGCTGTTCCCTCCCTGACCCTGGCCTTAGCGTCACACACATTTCTCTTTTGGATCTCCTCTCCTTGACATTCCCTTTTAGCGCCTCTCATCACCTTATCACACCTCTCTCTCACCCTCCTTCCTCCTCCTCCTGTGCCTGTAGGTCACAGTGAGCTGATCCAGCCTCCTGTTCCTGAATCTTACTTAAACTTGAGCTATGTCAGCCTGCCTGCAGCAGAGCTATACCAAAGCCCCTGGGATCCTGTGACCTTAGAAACACATGGGAGGAAAATGCAAGTTAGACAAGTAAGCATGGTGAAGAAGAAGAGTGCTGTTGACAAAGCATAATAAGATGATTTGAGAGAGAAAGAAAGACAGACAGCAGGTGAAATTAGCCTTATGATTGATTACTGGAATCCATAAAGACTTGCACAGGATTGGGTGATATTAGGGCTGCAACTAATGATTATTTTGCTTATCGATTATTCTGTCGATTATTTTTTTAATCTGACAACAGAAGGTTGCTTAAACCAGAAAAAAGTAAGACTTTTCCACTATGGATAGAGCATACTTACATTTGAAATAATTTTTTTTTCTTAAATTTAACTGCAATTTTTTTTTCTTACAATATTGGTATAATTACTGCTCCAAGTAGGTTGCTCTGTCAGCTAAAGGCATGTTGCAGAGTCTCTATACTACTGTTAATTGATTAGTAAATGAGTTGATAATTGTTTCAATAATCAATTAATAATGATTAATTACATTGTTTCATGCCCAAGTAATATAATAAAAGCTACATTAGTTATATTACACAAAGCTTGAAGTGAAGTTTGTCCCAGAAAAAACGCTGCTTGTTATAACAGTTTCAGCTTTTATTATTAACCGTAGTTTCAGCTAAGGACTTCCAGCTTAACACCATGATTCTATGCCTAAGACTTTTATTTTCAAGTGAAAGAGGGAATTTGTTCTTGATACCAAGGCAATGGGAAACAACTCTGGAGACTACTCTTTTTCCACTTTCTCTTGGAGCACCTAAAATGGGTAGGAATCTCCATACAGTAGTAGCCATTTACAATTTCCCCTTTTTCCTTGATCGGCCCTTGGCTGGTCCTTGGTTGGTGCGCGACAATTCCCTTTTAAACATCAATCTTTGTACTAAAATATTCTTTTTGCAATGATTGGTGGACATTCAGGATCTAGAGAGAAGCGTCATCTCCTGGTCAGACCCTGTAATTCAGTGAAAAGGTGGAAACAGAGTAAAAAATAAATAAGCAAGAGGGGGTCACTGCAGTCATAGGAAGTTGGAGGGGATATTGCTAGGAGTTGCAGGGAAGTGGGCTGCCATTAACCTGGGAAGGGCCATTTTGAATGGCTGCTACTGTAGGCGTATTGTTGGTGGGGTTTAGCTTTTCTTCAAACACAGTGATCCCCTCTTTGATACAGGAAAAACTCTCACTTCTACACTTTCTGAACTTGACCTGAAGGTGGACGCAGGCTTCCTGTCTGACAGGAAGAAACAGGAATCCACCTCTCATTTTCTCCCTGTACACCAACAGCTGCAAGTCAACTCACCCGCCCGTAAAGTTCGCTATCATCTGTAAAGTTTGCAGATGATAGCACCCTATTTAGGCTGTTCTCAAGCGGTGATGAGTCCTGATAACTTGGTGTAATCAAAAAAATCTTAAGCTCACTGCTCTAAAAAAACAACAACACAACAACGTAGATTGTTGTGGACTAGGGCTGGGCAATAAATCAATACCAACACCACGACTAACGCATGATAAATGTCAATAGTAAATACATCTAAGAACATAAATGGCATTACTTCTATCATAATCTGTTAACATCATGATTCTGCCAGTCAGCCGTGCCATTAAGCTACAATTAATATCAGTATGGCCACAACAATCCCATCCTTCCAAAGTCAAAAGCTTCACTCACCCATAGCGAAGAACGGAATCCCCAGCAGCGTGGAATTGAATTTCCCATCCGATATGAAGAAGATCCCTGCAGCTGTCACGTTGGCGATGCAAATGGTCAGCACACCCAAAAGGCCAAGAAAAGGCTTTCCTCTTAGGCAGTCCCTCATAGAGCTGGAGATGGTGGCAGCTAGGAGAACCAGAACCAGGCTGACCAGCACCTCCCCCTTCGACAGCACACCAGTCTGGTGAAAGTCCTGCCACAGGCTGAAGGAGGTGAGTGACTGGATGAGTAGCTGGTCGGTTGGGTGCGGCGGCTCAGCTGTGGACAGTCTAGTAACAAGAGCGCAGAACTCATTTTCCCAGCGCTCCGCAATGACATCCTGGACCACGGGACCATGGTTACGGAGGTAGTATGTGATCTGGATGGCCCGGGCAAACTTGACCTGCTGGTCCCTGCTGTTGGTTGAGAAGGACACCCCTCCAAGTTGGTGTCCAATAAAGGACAAACGTCCATTCTGTAGAGAGTTACGAAAATCAGACATTAGGCAGGGCAAGTTTATCTATATAGCACTTTTCATTAATACAGAAATTCAAACTGCTGTACATAAGAAATAAAAAGAAACACAAACAATAAAAGAGAGAGAAAAAAATGACTATACAAAATGAGATGATTACAATAGAAGAGAGATAAAATGATTGTTTAAAACAAATAAAGAAAAAGTGACGTTCCATGTCCCTCCAGCCAGCAGCTGCGGCACCCCACTTTGACCGCCACCCATTTATCTCCCTGCACCTAACCTCTACGGATCGCTCTGTGGGGGGTGGGTCTACAGGAGGGTGGGCCCACATCATCCGTTCTGCCTGAGTCCGGCTGGTTGTGTGATCCTAATTCTAGCATTTAGGGCGCTGAAGCGCTCTATCAGAACCTATTTGACAAAATTATTTTCATCTCCTCTGTAGCAAATTTACTCTTTTCAAAAAGCCTGCAGGCAATCGCATACAAGCCCAAAACCCCAGGCTTGGCTCTAGGGTGGCTCCTTTGCTCAAAGCTCAAACGTCACGGTCCTTGATTTAATGCTATCCATAGTGGTCTTGGTCTCGAGATCAGGTGAGGAGCTCAGTTAGCCGGGAAGATCTTGGAGTAGATTTTTTGCTCCTCCTATCAAAAGGAGCCAGCTGAGCTGGCTTGGGCATCTTTTATATCATCTTTTTTATATATATATGCATACATATATACATATACATACGTATATAAACATATATATATATATATGTATATACATATATATATATGTATATACATATATATATATATATATATATACATATATATGTATATATATACATACCTATACATACACTCACCGGCCACTTTATTAGGTACCCCATGCTAGTAATGGGTTGGACCCCCTTTTGCCTTCAGAACTGCCTCAATTCTTCGTGGCATAGATTCAACAAGGTGCTGGAAGCATTCCTCAGGGAGTTTGGTCCATATTGACATGATGGCATCACACAGTTGCTGCCGATTTGTCGG